ACCTTAGATTTTAATGAACGAAAAGTTGCAATGAAATGTTCAAAATGATTCCAAAACTGAGATCCCACTGGCAACCTTCAGTCAGATACTGAGCTGTGTTCTCTGTAATCACAGAATTGCCAGTCTTTAAGTAATGGATCTCCATTTTTTGTGGATTGCTGTGACATTATCCAGACCCAAATGTATGGTGATTCAGCACTATTTCCTATTTTTTCAAATCAAATTAATCCAGGGCAAACAAAGAAGTGCGGTAATTTGTCTGTTTTGGGGACACATTTGTTTTGATCCAAATGCTTTCTGGTCAATATTAATTGTCCATAGTCTGTATTTCTAAAGCAGTTATATTGAAAGCATCTTCATAATGATAAATAATATTAGAACATAAATGATGCATCAAATTATCAATGTTGCATTCATTGATATTTTTATCTTTCAATGTTTCTGCAAGCACTTCAAGAGCTCTTCCATGTCCTCCACAATCATCCACAAGCAATTTAATGATGTGATTGTCCTGTTGAAAAACTGGTATAACAATGTCATTCTGAAGGGTAGTTGGAGGTTGAAGAGAAATTACTGGTAAATTTATACATAATCAACCTGTTGGTTTCAAGGTGGATTTTACTGTGCAAGAAATTGTTGCAGTGCAACATGGAATCAAGAAAATATTATTACTCAATGCAAGATTTCCAATTTCTATTAGAGTCTGGTAAAATGCAGAATCTTGGTTAAGCCCATCATCTAGTGTTGTCACGAAATTCTGCAGGCCATCAACAACTAAAATAACTGAGATTTGTTTCATGTCTTTTTTCTCATACCTAGCTATCAATTGAAGTACCTCCCATGGGGTTGGAGACTCATAAGTAAGAATAAAACATCTAAATCCTCAAAATCAGGAAAAAGTTGCCAAAACATTCGAATTCCAACAGCTAAAATACCAATTGACTCATCACCCCTAGAAAAGCTGGTGCCATTTTCTAAGCTAACATTAAATACCTAAGCATTTTGAATTTTTTTCTTTAGCTCCAAATCCTTTGAACAATTCAAACATTTGATTAATGTATTATGAAATTCAGATGCATTTCTGGATTTTCCAGTGCCAGCACCAGAGAAAAAAAGATAAATTGGCCTATTTATTTTGTCATTCTCACCATTACAGAAATGGAAATGATGCTTTTCAGTTTGTTCTTGTAAGGTGTCTTTCAAATATGGATCTAGTTGATATTGCCATTTCAAACCAGAAGAGGTGGCTAAAGACTTTGGTTTAATGTAAGGTAAGCCTAGTGGATAAATGGTATGTGCAGTCAGCTTCAATGTGAGAAGGGCAAATTTCTGGCAAGAATTGTTAAATAAATACCTTCAGGAAAAGCATCAGTGATTTTTGTTTTGCTGTAAATTGTTGGTACTGATGTATTATTAAAAAAAATATAACACAACATATCAAAACAGTATTAATTCTTAAAGTTTACAAGCTAATCAAAATAACAAATAGAATATAAAATGGATTACATTGTCTAACTAGATAATGAAAAAGATTAATTCCCAAAATGAATAATGATCAATAACAACAGAAAAAAGGGGAGAAAAAAAAGAGCACAAGTTAGTTACATTTCACAAATGTAAATATTCATCATAAAAATTGACTTACCTGATTCTTCTTTAATGGACAAAAGATGAACAGGAAAGTTAAAAAGTTGATTCAGGATAAAATTAAAATATATGATTTCCCATTTGAATAAATAAAATAAAAAAAATTGAGTGGGATAAATGGAAAATAATCTTTACATAATTTGTTCATTACCTTTTTCTTCAAATTCTACTAAAATTTTTTGTAAATGCTCCACATGTTTACACATTCCTTCAACTTTTCTTCCAACTCCTCCTTCTTGCCTCCATAATCCTCCTTCTCTCTTCCCCTCTTCAGATTGTTCAACTTCTCTTCCCACTTCACCCTCCACCGCCTCAACTCTTAATCAGCCTTTCTATGCTCTTCAAGTGCAATGTTGAATTGGTTTTTAATTTCGTCAGAAATTGTCACCATTGTTAAAAAAAAAGATTATAGAAAATTTTTTTTTATTATTTATTGATTTAGATCGATTAATTGTTTCTATAAATAATTTGGACCAATGATAAATTAGTGGGCACATGACTTGTACTTTTTACAAAAGAAATTATTTTTATTTTAATTCAATTGATAATAGAAAAATACATAAATAATTTATAAAAATATAAGTTAGAGAATTGTCAGAGCAAGGAAAATACTCGGACCCAAAGCCATTTGTAAGTATTACCTATTCTTTGGACACTCTGACAAAAATCTAACTTTCACTATTACTACTATTTTATTATTATCATTAATATTTGTATTTTCTTCATTTTCATTATCTTCTTCAACTTCACTCTCAACTTCTTTCTTTTTTCTTTGTTGACCCATTCCTGAATTGCTTCTATCATTTTCCTTCTAGGATTTGTTTTTCATTGATGGAAGTTTTTTATTGTGGAAGTAGCAACACCTTTTCCCTCTCCAAGTAATTCATGACAAATTTCAATGGCCATTTCACTAAATGAAAAATCAGGATTCAGTTCAGTCTTTTATCACATAATTGTTTGGAATCCTTTCATAGATTTTCAATCTCTTGTGAATATTTTTTATCACTGGTAAATTTGCTTAATTTATTTTTGAATTGGCTTTTTCTTAGTTCTATTTTATCAAATGTTTGATCAATTTTTTGATTTATAATATAGAGTTGATTTTTATAAGTTGATAATGAAGTAAGAATCCAAGCAAGAATCCAAACAATAACCCACATAAAAAGAAAGTGTAAATATTTATTGATTATTTTTTTTAATTGTGTTAACAATCATTAAAGAATTTGTTATATATTTGATTTTTTTTATCTGAATAATAATAAATGATCTGGTGATGTTTTTATAATGATCTAACATAAGGCAGGATTGTTTACCTTGTTTCAATACCAATCAGAGAAAAACAAAGTTTCATAGACATACTTGTGAATGTAAAATTTGTTAAAACAACTCAAACAATGTTTTATATTAATTAGCAATGCAATGTGATGATTGTTAATTACATTTGCATAAAGGAGAATTTTCTTTGTCAGTAAAAAAAATAGATCTTCAATAATCAGATTCATTGCATTTTATTTTCCTTCTTTAAAAGATTTCTGCTTTTTGTTAGGTAATAATGCATCATCATGATGCTTTCTTTTTCTGACATTTATTATTTTTCTTTCTTCTTGGTAAATTTAATAAATAATCCTTTCTTTCCTTAGATAAGCTTCCAGTGTCTGAGTATCATTTATTTTGAAAACATAAGGTGCAATTTTTTCAAAATACTTCTAATGGTGCTATAATTCTTGGGTTCCATGTAAATTAACTTCATATTAACTATTTTTATATAGGGATAATTCTATCTATCACTTAAGATAACAAATGGATATTATAAAACTGTCAATTATATAGTTGGCTCGGTCTAAAGACCTCCCAAATTTTGAGCAAATTTTAAAAGTATAGAAGTCATTTTCTGTCCTACAT